TAGCATTTTCATGGAATGTTTTTACTATCCTTTAATTCTCAACCTATTTGTGTCCTTGGATATATGGCTTACAAACAGCATAAAGTTGGATCATGTTTCCTTATCTATTCTTCCACTCTCAGCCTACTGATTGGCACATTTAGTCCATATACATTCACTGTAATTACTGATAAAAAGTGACTTATTACTTCCATTTTTTTAGGAGTCTTAAGCCCTCCTTTCTGTCCTTTAGACTGCTTCCTTTTGTGTTGTTAATTTATTGTAGTGAGCTTTGTTCTCTCCGAATATATGCCAACTTGGCTAGCCTACGGTATTACACAATTCTCTTCCATTTGTGATCTGACCTAATTATCCAATTATAAACCCTAGTTTCTGTGATATTAATGAAGCAGGATTAGTTAGAGCTATGTTAATGAGGCAGAATACAATTTATGGGATTAGGCTGTATCTTGTTTCAATCTAGTTTGAGCTATAAAAGACATTAAATGAGTGCTTAGAGACTCAACGGATCTACTGCTACCAAGAAAGAAGATCTAAAACTGGAATGTGTCCTTTGGACCCAAGGTCCCTGTATTGGGAACACCCAAGAACACCCAAGAAACAGAAAGAAAACCTGCTCCTGGAGTTGGCACTCTAAGTTTAGGCTTCTAGTCTTTTAAACTGTGAGAAAATAAAGTTATGTTGTTAAAGGTATTTCTGTTACAGTAGTACTAGAGAACTGAAAAAGAGCCATTTGAGTTGTCTTTGTTTTACGTTTTTTCGATATATTCTTAGTGGTTACCAGGAATATTACATCTAACAGCTTAATTTATATTTATAGGATAAATTAGCACCAATTATGTTCAGTAACAAAAGAAATTCTGTATCGCACTCCCCTCCTTTTTTGCTATATATTAGATCTTTATATTCCACATACCTTGTAACAAAAATTTATCCTTATTTTTTATAAATTTATAATTAAAATGCATAAAGAGCAAAAAATTATAACTATCAAACATGAATACCTTAATACTAGCTCTTATACTTGTCCATGCAACTCTCTTTATTAGGGATCTTACTTTTTGTGTACAGCTTTGAATTAATTTCTGTCCTTTCTCTTCCACTGCAGAACACCCATTAGTATTTTTTGTAGGATCAATATGATGGATATGAACTCTCTCAGCTTCTCTTTGTCTGGGAATTTTTTAATTTCACTCTCATTCTTGAAGTCAGTTTTGCTGGGTATAGTATTTTGGTTAATAAATTTGGTTTTTCTTTCAGAACTTTTAATAGATCATTCCATTCCCTTTTAGCCTCTGAACGTTTAGAAGTGAAATCAGCACTTAATCCTATTGATGGATCTTTGTAGGCAGCTGTTTGCGTCCCTCTCACTGTTTTCAAATTCCTCTCTTTATCCTTCCTCTTTAGAGCTTGGTCATGATGTATCTTGGTGTAGATCTTTTGGGGTTCATACTGACTTAGGTATTTAATATTCTTGGATTTGCTGATTTATGCCCTTCATCTAGCTTAGAAATGTCTCTGTCATTCTTTCTTCAAGTATTTTGGGGTCTCTCTCTCTCTCTCATCTACTTCTAGAATCCTCTTGATGTATATATTAGGTTCCTTGCTGTTGTCCCATAATTCCATCAACTGTGATCACCAAAGCTTAAACTTTCTTAAGCCTCCATTCTTGTTCCTCTTCAGCCTCTGTAATTTCAATTATCTTATCCTCTAATTTAACTGATGTTTTCCTTCTTCTTGAATGAATGTTGATTAAATGCTTTCACTGTGTTTCTCATTTTAGTTACTGCTCCTTTCAATTGCAATATTTCTATTTGGCTTTTTTTCTTTTCTTTTCTTTAGCCTTCTTTCAAGATGTTTGCCTGCTTCCTACACAAAGCAGCCTCAGCCAGTTGTCATCAATCAGTAGTGTCAAGCAGAGAGACCCAGAATGACCTCTAGAGAGGGCTGCCCTGTTTATTAGAGGCCTGAGATATGGGAAGCAGAAAGGAAGGTAAAGTATTGACTACGTGAGCAGATTCCACTGCAGGGGCCCAGCATTATGGTGGATAGTAACTGAGTGGGGGAGGTGCTGGCAGGCTTTGAATGGGCCCCTGGGGAGGTTTTCCTTATTAATTTTAGAGCACAAGCTTGGGGTCCTATCTCATTATGAAGCTAGGAGGTGTAGTGGTTAGGGAGCCCTGGGAGCACAGTAGTTATAAGGTGGGTTGCTAGCTGTACGGTTAGCCGCTGTAAATCACCACTTGCTCTGGTGGAGAAAAATGGGACTCTCTACTCCTGAAAAGAGTTATAGTCTTGGAAACTCACAGGGGCAGTTCTGCCTTGTCCTAAAGGGTCACTGTGAGTTGGCACCAACTCAATGGCAGTAAGTTTTTGTTTTATTTTGCTTTTTGGTAGCCCGTATGTCCTGGGAAGGGGCAGAGATCATGACTCAATTTTCCTGTAGAGTATGATTCACTGCTGGTTCTTCTGTCTGCAGTTCCCCAAGGTGCAGTCCCTCGAGGCTGACAACCCTTTCCTTATTGTATTTCTCCTGGGTTTTGTGGTGGAGGGTGAGGGACAACGGTCTGCTTATGCCATCCTCTTCCCAGAATTCTTCCACAAGTAAGTTTTAAGAACAAATTCAACTTTAGTAAAATGAAATCTACTTATCATGAAAAAACTTAATATGCTAAGTGCATGAGAAGTAATTTTCTTTCTGCTGTTCATTTTAAGGAGCAACATTGTTGAGGGAAATGTTCCAAATAAAGTTGTGGTAATACTTTCTTTTGTAGGAATGTATTAGTTAAGATATTATAAAGGTATTCTTTCTAATATTTAACCCTGAGAGAGTTCCTTAGAGGACATCTAAAGCAAACTTCTATTTCATTTTCAGGAATTCCTCCTATAGCATTTATAGTTTTCCAAAATTTTCCTGAACATGTTCAGTGACTGTCCATGACCCAGCTGGTTTGTTGTGATTGAGAAAAAGTATTCCATATGGTGCAAAGAAGTCTAGATTCTTATATAGATTGTTTCTGCCATAAGCAACCCAAATTCCATTTTTCTGTTCCCTAGTTGGAAGTAAAAGAACAGCCTGGCAAGCTGTATTAGTTTCCCAGGGTTGTCATAACAGGATATCACACACTAGGAAGCTTATAAGAACAGAAATGTATTGTCTCAAACTTCTGGAGACTAGAAATTCAAGTCAGTGTGTCATACTCTCTAAGTCTCTGGAGGAATATCCCTTCTTGTCTCATCCAACTTTTGTATTTTCACCTGGCCCCTCTTCTTTTGTCAGTCTCTTCTCTCAGTTTATAAAGGCAGCATTCAGATCAGATTAGAACCCACATTATTACAGTAGGACCTTAGGTTACCTAATGAAATCTTTGGAGACCCTCTTTCCAAACAAGGTCACATTCACAAGTACCAGAGTTAGGGCTCTGATACATCTCTGTCGAGGACACAATTCAATTCATAACACAAATCATATCACTTGTGATTGAGTGAGAGGTGACAGAGCAATGGGAAAGAAGATGGAAGACAGCACCAATCTAAGACTCTGTGGTTCACAAGGACAGTTTACATCAGGTTCAGTGAGAAACACAAATAAATCTGAAGACTATGAAAGAAAACATGTGTATGTGTGTATGTATAGGTGTGCATGTGTGTACAGAGACATATATGTATGTATGCTTATGCCTATACGTGAGTGTGTCTTTTTGACAGTTTTGGAAACTCCAATGTATATCGTGTGGATATGTGTATGCACATATGCCTGCATGTATATGTATGAAATACAAAGTCAGCTAATAGAAAAACAATTCACAGTATGTTGGATAAACAAATACAAACAGGTTTTCAGGATGTTATTTTAGAAAGAATATGAAGTACTCATAGCTGCTAAATACTTAAAAATTATTAACTGGAGTGGTTATGGTAACAAGTGTGCTTATTTTTAAAATCTGAATCACTAAGTGTTAAACTTGTTATCAAGGCATTTGTTATCAAGTAAATGAAGAAATTCCTAACTCGTAAATGAAAATTGGCAAACAGCTCACTCTGCCATGTCCCTTTCGGCAGCTCCACCCCTTCTCGGGCTTGGCTTAGGACTTACTTTGCCAGCCTCGCTCCCCAGCAGCGACTCCTCTCAAGAAGTCTGAGTCGCCCTAAGGCGAACACAGCCCCGATGGGAAATGCTCAATTATTAAAGAAGTGCTAAATCCATGTCATTAGACTTCCGACAGGAAAAAAATAAATACAGAAAAAATTTCTATAAACATAGAAAAAATTTTAAAAAGTTTGGGGTAAATATCCAATTAATTGACCATAATCTAGAATTAATAAAAAGTTTAGTAAATTCTATTCATCAAAAAGTATAATATGTATTCATATCTAATAAAATAAAATGAGAAACCCATTTATAGACTTTTATCACGATAAATTTGAAAAAAATAGATAATATATTTTTCTATGTAGCATGTAAAACTGTTTCAAGTCATATACATGGCCTGTTAAAATACAATAATTTTAATCATAAACCAATAAAGTTTAATGGGGACTCAAGCATCTTAAATCTAGGCAAACCAATGCACAAACATTTTACATTAGGATTTGGCAAACTACAGGTCATATCTGGCATGGAACCTCTTTTTGTAAATAGTTTGTTGTTTTTGTAAAACACAGCCACATTCACACATTTATTTAGCTATGACTGCTTTCATTTGATAGCAACAGAGTTGAGCAGTTATGACAGAGACCATAAGGCCACCAAAGGCTAAAATATTTACTATCTGTTCCTTTAAACCCCTGGCTCTACAAAAATCACTGAATAGAAAACATCCGGGCCATAGCTGATATGGTGGTCTACAAGGCAAGCAAGAACCTTACTCACTCCATAAATCAGGTCCCTTCTTAAAAATTAACAATAAAAAAGTCAGTTACAGTAAGTGTCCCAAATGTTGTGAGTTATTTTACGTTAGAGAAGTACAATTGCTCCCGTTTTTGCTTATTGCCCGTACCTGTTTTTCCTTTTCTTCTTCAAATGAAGTGTCCCTGGAATTCAACGGAGGTGGGAAGACCTGCAACCCTTCTTGAATAGAATAATTGCTCTGCTTGTGATTCACGGGGCTTTCCTCGTCACTCTCTGGGTTATTCTTCCACTCCTTCATCATTTCTAGTACATTGATGGGTCTTGCTGAAGAAAGTTTATTGCCCTATTATTAACAAATGGATTGTTGGTGTTAAAACAGTTTGGATAACTGAAAGTATTCGTACATTTTTCAGTAATACATTATCCCAGATTTAGTCAGAGTCACGTGGAATTACAATGCCGAACAAAGAGCAAAACTTCTGATACCCTTTGGACACACTTCCTGTGCTGATGTAACTCCTAACTCTTGAATACAAGGACAATAATATGCTCACATTTGAGGGCAATGGAAATATTCAGGATCGAAAGCACACTTGTGCACAGCACACGCTACAAGACAATTCCTTGGAACCCAAGAGCGTAACCTTGTTCAAGTAGCTGTTCTGAGAAAGATGATTAAAAACAAAAACCAAAACCCAAGCCAAACTCACAGCCATCAAGTTGATTCCAATCCATAGTCACTCTATAAGATGAAGTAAAACTGGCCCTGTGGGTTTTCAAAACTAACCATTCACAAGAGTAGAAAGCCTCATCTTTCTCCTACAGAGCAGTTGGTGGTTTCAAACTACTGACTTAGTGGTTAGCAGCCCAACTTGTAACCTACTACACCACCAGGATTCCTGTGAGAGAGCCGTTAGAGAGGCTGGAAGAATGAAAGGAGATGTCTAAATTCTAATGGGTTCAGCACTAAGGGTAAGTCTATATACCATCGACATGTGTAAGTGAAAAATCTGAATTCAGTTGATTAGTCAAACGCTGTGTCCAAGATTTATGTTTGACAAGACTGGAAGATTTAAATGTAATGTGGTGGCTTGATTATAGCTGATTCAGTGAACTGTCCTTTTCTATAAATTACTACACCATGCCAAAATTGACTGCCTTATATTGACAATACTTTTGTCCAAAGGAAGACCCACAGAGTTTCCTAGACTGTAATCTTTATGAGAGCAGATCTCTACTCTTTTTCCTGCAGAGCTGCTGGGTAAGTTCTGACCTTTCAGCTCTAGCAACTGAGCATTTAACCATTGTACCACCTGGGCTCTTTCCTGCCTGAAGTAGTTTTGCTCCTAACTCAGACTGTTAGAAACAGTTTAGATCACGTGTAGATTCAGCTCACACATCCAGGTATGGGTCCAGTTATGGAGTGATTATAAGTTAATTTGTTTTGGACTGAAGTGACGATTGTTGGTGTGTTAGACAGGATTCTCTAGAGAAACAAAACCAGGACACATGATTTTATAGATATATGCAAAATGAAGAAATAAACAGCTAATTAGTCCACAGAGCAGTACAGAGGGCTCAGTTCAACTCACTTCCATGGGACAGTTAATACACTGGCATTCCTTCAACTCACAGGAGCTGCTGGGTGAAAGTCAAGGAAGCAGATAGCTGAGTCTTCTGTAGAGCAATACAGGCAGTCTGGCCACAGGCAGTTAACAGCAGGGTGGGTCACCAACGGTCAACCAGATGACACGGTCTGACAGTCCCCAGCTCAAGTAGTGTAAACACCAGCAGAGTGGTGAAGCAGGTCTCGAAGGTACCTCAAACTATAGCAACATGGTACACTGGTTGGGCATCCCACAGTGAGGTAGAGAACTAGCTAAGGCACCCACACGCTGGTCCAATCATCAGAGAGCAAGAGACTGAAAGGTGAGGCTCGCTGAGCCATTTATCTTTGCCTTTCAATTAAACTGTGACCTTATTAATCCCACATGTGTTTATTGGCCAGGTTGGCACAATAAACCTACCTATCACTGTTGGCAATACTGACGACTACAAAAAGGGGCACTTTAACAACTGAGTACACTGTGGAGGAATTTTAGAGTTTGATCTAGTTGTGGCTAAGGGCACTGCAGAGCTTCAAATTACTGAATGTGGTTCTTCTAGCCAGAGTCTCTGTATCTCCCATCAAACACCTTTTCCTGATGTCTGGGTAAGAGGTATGATAGTGGTGGTGTGTGTTGGGGGTGGGGAGTGGTGATTCTGATGGGATTCAGTTGTTAGCAGAATTCATTGTGCATGCCTGCATAGTTCCTGCTGCAGATAAAATCCCTCTTAGGGGCTAGAAGGGGAGATCTTACTAGCAGCAAGAGCCAGGAGTTGAGTGGGTCCTCTGGACCCTGAAAGCCTCGGCCAGCGGACCTCTTCGATCCAGAAGACAGCTGGAACAACGTCAGAGGAGCACTCGCAGTGTAACTAGGAGCCCAAGCATGGAACCGAGTGGTGGCCTTCCCAGCTGATGGAAGAAGTGCTTTGGGACAGGAGGCTGGTTTGTGGAGCGGGGTGCCTCTGGACACGTAATTCAGAGAGCCGGGTTCACTGACCCACACAGTTGAAGGTACATATCTTTGGGTTGAGGTTTAAAGTGGAGTGGCATGTCCTTTGGGAATTTATTAGTAGGCTTGAAAGAACTTCGTCTTAATCTAATGCCCATATCCTGAGCATTTCTCACCTGCATTTTAACCTCTCAACTTCCTTAATCATGGTGGGTTCTGTGTGGCTATTGCAATAAGTTCTTGAACTCGGTAGCTGAAAAAGTAGAGAATGTTGTGTGTGATAGAACAAACAAACATTAAGTATGGACTGGTGGTACCTACCGGTGAATGAGGATCATTATGCAATTAATTCCTGTAGCTCTTCCACATAGTTCTGTTTTAAGAAAATCAATTTTTTCTGCCACCTTTCACAGTTCCTAACTTGTTTGCACCCATTCATCATCAGCCCACTTACGCTCCTAAAATGCCCTTGCCATGCCTTTCTGCCAACTCAAATACGTCATTTTCAGCAAGGCCCAGTCTGAGTCACCTGTCAGGTAGCCGCTATTCTCCAAGATGCTGTCCATTCAAACACAAAGCACACAGGGAGGCTCACAGACTGCAACCATCGAAAAGCCAAAGTCCTCTAAATATGTATAAAATTATTTTCCATGTGGAAGAGTCAGTTTTGTGAATTTTTTTCCTGGGAAAATAAATTTTTATTTTCACTACATTTTAAAGTTTGCCAGCATACAGTTGTTGGTAGTCTCCTCTCTTTCTTGTCTTTGTCAATGTCGCCTTATCTGTGACTAGCTTTCCTTTTCCACGTGATGCTTATTCTGCTTTTCTGTGTGTCCCTAAGGGGTCCTAGTGGCACAGTAGTTACGCACTGGGCGATTGGATGAAGGCCAACAGGTGGAAGCCACCACCTGTTCCAAGGGGAAATGGGGCTGTAGCCCCTGCAAAGAGTTGAAAACTCACAGAGGCAATCCTGCCCTGCCCTGTAGGGTCACCATGAGTTAGCAGTGAGTTTCAGTTGTATTTGTTCTTTGATGAACTGTGCAAATATTTATCGATTTTGTTGGTCTTTTCAAAGAACCAAATGTTAAGCTTCTTGAGCTCCTTTATTTCATAGCATTGACTTTCATCACGAGTGATACCTTCCCTAGTATGTTATGTGGGTCTATTCTGTTGTTTTGCTTTTCCTGAACATTGAAGTTGGACATTTGCTATTACCTACTGTTAAGTCAGTTTCAAGTACCACGAATTCCTTGACAACTTTAAACTTTATTGCGATGTTGCTTTTTTGACCAGCTGTGAGGTACTTTGCTTTCTTTATACTGAGATGTGATCCACATTTACAGCTGTTGTCTCTGATCTTCATAAACAAGGGCCTCTTCACTTTCGGCAAACAAGGTTGCATTATCTGCATATCATAAGTTGTTACTGTGTCTCCCCAATCCTGTGCAGAGTTCCTCATGTAGCCCATCATCTTGGATTTTTTTGCTCAGCAGACTGACTGAATAAGTGTGGTGAAAGGATATAACCTTTTCTCCCCTTGATCTGCTTGAATAACTGCCTCTTGGTCGATGTACAAGTTCCACATGAGCAGAATTAAATGTTTTGGAATTCCCATTATTTCCCAATTTGGGGCGGCAGGGGGATATGTTTTATGATCTACTCAGTCCGATGACTTTGTGTAATAAATAAAGCACGGGTAAATATCTTTCTAGTGGATAAATATCGTTGCCAAGATCCACCTGATATCAGCAATGATGTCCCGCATTCTACGGCTTCTTCTGACTCTAGCTTGACTTTATGTTGATACATTGCTGCAACTATTTTTAAGTTATCTTCAGCAAAATTTCACTCGTGTGTGATATTAATACTGTTCAAAGTTTGTACGTGCTGTGGTATCACCTTTCTCTGGCATGGGCAGAGATGGGGATCTCTTCCCGTGGGTCTTCCACGCTTGCTGGCAGACATGAGTGAGCACTGCCAGGGCTGCATCCACTAGTTAAACCATTTTAGTTGGGTTCTTGTCAATTCCTGAAACCACGCTTCTGATCAATAACTTAAGTGCAGTTTGGGTTTCTTTCTTCGGTACCATCAGTTCTTGCTCGTATGTTACCTTCTCCTGAAATGGCTGAACATCAACTAATTCTTTTTGGTAAAGTGATCATGTATTTTTTCTAATATACTTTGATGTTTCTTGCATTGTTCAATATTTTGCCCGTAGAACCTTTTACTACTGCAACTTGAGGCTTGAATTGTTTCCCTTCAGTTCTTTCAGCTTGAGAAATGTTGAATGTGTTCTTCCTTTTTGATTTTTCAATTTTAGGTCTTTGCACATTTCATTATAATACTTTACTTTCTGTTCTCCGCCAACCTTTGAAATCTTCTGTCCAGCTCCATTATTTCATCATTGACTCTTTTCTTTTCAGTTATTCTTACATTCATGAGTAGGTTTCTGTGTCTTCTGACATCCACTTTGGTCTAATGATTCTTCCCAGTCTTTTTAAAGACCTTTACCTTTCTCCATGCATGAAGTCCTTGATATCATCACACAACTCATCTTATCTTGAGCCACTAATGTTCATTGCTTCAAATTTATTCTTGAGATATCTCTAACTTCAGATAGGATAGACTCCAGGTCATACTTTGGGTCTTGTGAACTTGCTTCTCTAGTGTCAATGTGAGCTTGCATATGAGGAATTGATGGTCTGTTCTGCAGTAAGCACCTGGCCTTGCTATGACTAAAGAGATGGCATCTACCGATCTTCACTGCCTTTTTCCACACATGTAGTTT